AATTCAACTTATGGCAAAAAGGTTTATTTTTCCCGGAACTCAAGTGGGAAGTTATAGGCTTCTCTTCCCAGAGTAAAGATGTCCGCAGAGCGCCTGATTTCTGGGTAAACGAAGGTCCAAAGAAGTGCGCAAAGGTGTTTGCGTCCTGCCTGTGGATGGCGCTCTTTCGGGGGCGGGCCGAACTGATCCATCCGTGAATGGTGGAGCACTAGTGTCCGCCCCCAATATAGCCCAATCAAAAGGGAGGAACGCTGAGCACTAAGTAGCTATTGGTTGGCCTCGGGGCCAGTCGGAAGAGCCATGATTTGGCGGGAGCCTTGACCGCCGCGGGGGCTTAGTGTGTCCGGGTGAGCGAGCTCCGGGTGTCCCGTCTCCGTGGCCATGTTCGTGTCCGATTTCCGCAGGGAGTTCTACGAGGAGGTGCAGAGCCAGGTGACCCCCTTTCTTGGACCCCGAGGCCTTGTCGTGGGGAAGGGATGAGGTGGGGCGGCCGTGCGAGGGTGGGAGGAGCCCGGCTTCCACCTCCGCGCTCACCTGGCGCGCTCTTTGACACAGAGGGTCCTTCTCTTCGTGGCCTCGGACGTGGACGCCCTGTGCGCCTGCAAGGTCCTTCAGGTGAGCCCTGCGGGGCCGGGGCGGGAGGCGGGCCGGAGGCGAGGGCTCAGGGCCGGGAGGGACCGGGGCGCGGGTGGGCAGCGGGGCCGGCATCCGCCGGCGCCGCCCTCGGGTGAGAGCGCCAGCCGGGGTGGGGGCTGCCGCCGCCTCTGCGGAACGCTGGGGAGAGGTCGCCCCGCGGCAGGACAGTGCCGGGCGGGCTAGAGAAGAACCGGGCAAACGGCAGGGCGACTGGCTGGTACTTTTGCAATGATCTAGGCCAAGGGATGCGCCGGAGACACCCATAGACCTGCGGTGGTTTCCCAAATGTCGGGTTTCAGACCGAGGGACCGGTGACGACTGAGGGCCCAGGGGCGTCGTAAGCAGTACTGGGAAGGCAGGGTCCCTGAGCCCATTAGGGAGGGTCACTGGTTTCGTTCTGCATATGGCTCCGCCTTCGCCCGCATTCAGGGCGTCCTGAGGTCGGGAACTGCTTTGCAGAAGACGGAGGAATGAGATCGGCTTTTTCCCCCAATGTTTTCCTATGGTGATTTTCAAAAACTCCACAAAGCTGGAAGAATGGCACTTTGATCACTCACACCCTATCACCTATCTCTCCTTTACATTTATTTATCTTACTTTATCACGTATCATTCGTCTCTTAACCTATCTTATTATTTTTTTTAAGTGCATTTCAAGGTAAATTGCAGACATCCTCATATGATAGGCTCTGAACACAATCTCCCTCCAGGCCCTGTTCCAGTGTGACCACGTGCAGTACACTCTGGTTCCAGTTTCTGGGTGGCAAGAACTTGAAACTGCATTTCTTGAGCATAAAGAACAGGTATGAAAGATGCACTATAGAATAATTAGACTTTTTTACTCAGTTGAAATTTCTTAACATTCGGTATTCTTTCTGTATCCACAACAGGTGGCATATACATAGAAGTCTCAAGTATATTAGGTAATATAGAAGAGAAAAACAAGTTATATGTTTAGGTGACTTACATTCAAGTTGTGGAGACATAATTGACAAGGAAAGATAATGTCTATGGACCTTTAACTTTGAACTTATGTTGCACATATTTCATTGTAAGGTGCTTGGAATTTAACAGTTAGTTTTTTATATGGCCTATTTAAAATTATTTTAGACTATGCCAGTATTTTACATTATCTCTCCAACGAAATGTATC